ACCTAAATGCCGGGAATGGGCTAAAATGCCGCGGAGCAACATTCGGACAGCGTGTGACCATTTCATTGCCGAAGGCCATAATTGGTGCCAAAGGTGACCAATTCGAACAAATCTAAACTTATTCTAAAATTTGATGCTATTTCCGACATTTTTTGCTTTCATTCAGTATAGAGACCGAAGACCTTCTGGTTGTCTATAGAGACCGACCGACTGATCTGATCTAAAGAGGTCAACCGACCTTCAGCTGGTCTATAGAGGTCAACCGACCCACAGGTCATCTATAGAAGTATACTAACTTTCAGCTGGTCTATGAAGGCCAACCGACTTTTAGGTCGTCTAAAGAAGTCGACCGATCAACCTCCAGATTGCTACTAGAGACCGACCGACTTTCATCTGGACTATAGAGATTGACCGGCCTTCAACTCGTCTATAGAGACCGGCATTCAGCTCGCTGGTCTATATAGACGGCTGATCTATAGAGACGGTCTTCAGCTGGCTAATAGAGACGGTCTTCGGCTGGCCAATAGAGACGGTCTTCAGCTCGCCAATAGAGACGGTCTTCAGCTGGCCAATAGAGACGGTCTTCAGCTGGCCAATAGAGACGGTCTGCAGCTGGCCTATAGAGACGGTCTGCAGCTGGCCTATAGAGACGGTCTTCAGCTGGCCTATAGAGGTGGCCTTCCTCTGCTCTATTAAGACGGAGACTATTAGCTCGTCTATAGGGACTGGCCTCCGCAACTTTCGGCTCGTCTGCAGAGATTGTCTGTAGCTCGTTTGCCTTTGGAGAAAATAACTTCCGTCTTTTCTGAGATAGTATGCCTTCTAAAGAAATAAGGCTTTGGTTAATTATTTTATAGACGAAAGACTTTCAACAAGAAAGCAGAGAGTCCTCCTATAGATGACTTACTTTCTTCTATGGAGAAAAATTCCAAGAGTATTCTTTTGACCGATAGAAGATCATCAACATATCTGTTGTAGACACCTCTAACAAAAAGACGGAAGACGTCAAACGGGATTTTTGTGTACTGAAGATCTTTTGAATGCATTATTTTTGTGTGCTTCGAAGACGGAAAGCCCTTTCGAAGGCCTTTCTATTGACAGAAGACTTTACATCAAAAGAGTTTCTGCCTTCGAAACGTTTATGTAGAAAGATAGTACGTTTTGTAAGACTTCTATAGACAAAAAATTTCCCAAAATATGGTCTTTAGAAATTATTTTTTTAAACGTTTGAATTCATCTGAAGTGAGAACTTTTTACTGGCTAGAAAGTCCTGTAGTTTTATTATATTTCGATTATTGATAAAATCAGTGCTTACCCTGTTTGCTTTGGGAACAGGACCGTAAAAAGTAAGACAGTAAGCTCTCAGTTGGAAGACCCTTAATTTTTATTTCGTAGGCAGAATACTTAAGAAGTCGTATATAGCAAAATACCTTTAAACAGGAGAATTCCAACCTTTTATTGGTCTTCATAAGAAGTAGGTGGCAGAAGGAAAGGGAAAGATCGAGAGATTGTACCTATTGAGAGGCTTCTTTAGACTAAATTTTCTTTAAACAGAAGACCTTTGAAAGAGGTCTTTCAAATGCCATTTTATTCTAATTTTATTATTTGGATTTTTTATTGATAAATCACTACTTCCCCATCTACCATTTTTTATCCCCTTTGCTAAATTTCTAAGCCTCCAAGCCTCTAATATTGTCCGTACAAAAAAAAAAAAAAAAAAAAAAAACTTTTCTGTTTTTCTTGCGGTGGCATAACTTAAGCTTGTGAATAATGTTCTGCTCTGTTAAATTTCCAATTTGCAATATGAATGGCTGTGGTTACTAAGTTGTCTGCCGCCACCACCAAAGAAGGCCTTCCACCCCTCGAGGTAAACGTTACGCTGCCGGTGGCGGTTGCTGATTTGAACGATTGTTGCAGCCCCCTTTGAATGCCGAAACCATTTATTTGGTTTCTTGAAAATGTTATTTTTTTTAACAATTTCAGCTTTGATTTGTTTTTGTGGTTGTTGTTATTGCCGCTGCATTTTGCCATAATTTTCCCAACTCGCTAGGATTTCCGTTTTGAAGTGTGCCAATTACCTAAAATTGCCATGAAGCTAAAAAACGCAGAAAAAGAAGCCAATTACAAAAACGACAAAAAAGATGAAGAAGAACAACGGTCTCCCTTCGATCATCATCATCATCGATACCGGAAAATATCTATTGAATTTGTTGCTATATTCGTTTGTTTGTCTGCCTCCGAATGTGTATGGTTTCAACACTTTTGAAGGTTTTCTTTTGTGCGCTAAAACTCTTCTTTGCATTTACATTTTTTGTCTTGTTTGCAAATTCGCCGTGGTGGCGTCGTCATTTGGGTATCACACGTTTGGATCTTTGACTCCAGTTTGAAGTTGCTCCTGAGTCTTCTCTCTTTTTCTCTTCGTCTGCAAATGCCTAAAAGTCAGACGACCAACAATTTCATGCCGATCTTAGCTCATAAAATATTGCTCCTGGTGTTTTGCAAAACATCGTCGTCAGCCAATATCATTACTGTCGTTTTGTGAGAAAAAAAAAAAGAAACGTGAATCCAATTCATGGCTTGATAATGTTGCGTTTCTTTCTTTCATATTGCTTGTATTTTGCATCTTTGAGATAATTTCAGTTTTTCTGTGCCATGGCATTTGTGAAAAGCTAATTTACAGGAGTAAATATTGTTTAAGAGTTTGAGTTTTCTAATTAAATAATACGACCAATCACCATTGCAACGCTTCAACGTTTAGGCTACGGACTTCCATGAAGCTAGCCTATGAAAAGGTCCGACCCAAACATTCTTGAGTTTCTCTGCGAACTAGATTCGTCTCTTCAGTCATAAAAGTTAATCTCAGAAGTAGACTCCCTCTCAAGCTCATCCATATGATGGATTTCCTTTTGAAGCTCGTTATAGAGTATACTCCCTTTAAAGATTATTTATATATTCCCCCCTTCTGATCGTCTATGAGATACACCCCCTCCCAACCATTTTCTTCTCATTTATGGAATAAACTACTTCTCTAAACGTCTGTGAGACAGCCTCTCGATCAAAAGAAGAACTTCCTTTCTAGCTCTGCTATGAATTAGACTTCCGATGAGGAATGTGAATTAGGTTTCCTATAGCTCGTCTTAAGAGATACTCAATGCAGCTTGTTTTTCTAAAAAAAACTCATTTGGCTCCTCTATAAAGGCTTCGTATTGACCGTAATGACATCCTTTAACTTTTTTGCCATTTTTAAAAATTTAAAAAAAATCAAAATTTTTTCGAAAATTTTTTTTTTTTTTTAGAAATTTAGGATAAGTTTTAAAAAATTCGATTTTTTTATGGATTTGATATTTTTTATTAAAATTAAACTGGTATATACAGACTCTTTTGTAAAAATCTCCTTTTGGCTCCTCTAGAAAGATTCTCTGCAGCTAGTCGATAAAAATCGGTTCATACCATCTATAACGACCTCTTTTATCCAGTTCCGTAGGGTCGTCGATAACGACTTTCTTCTGTTGGTCTTCTAATAACCTTGTTTCTATGAAGACTTCTTTGTCTGCAGCTCGTATATGGATACTCACTGACCTCCAGCTCGTCTAGGGAGACTCCCTGGCCTTCAGCTCGCCTATGGAGACTCTCTGGCCTTCAGCTCGCCTATGGAGACTCCCTGACCTCTAACTCGTCTATAGAGACTCCCTGGCCTCCAGCTCGTCTATAGAGACTCCCTGGCCTTCAGCTCGTCTATAGAGACTCCCTGGCCTTCAGCTCGTCTATAGAGACTCGGCCTTCAGCTCGTCTATAGAGACTCGGCCTTCAGCTCGTCTATAGAGACTCGGCCTTCAGCTCGTCTATAGAGACTCGGCCTTCAGCTCATATATAGAGACTCGGCCTTCAGCTCGTCTATAGAGACTCGGCCTTCAGCTCGTCTATAGAGACTTGGCCTTCAGCTGGTCTATAGGGACTCTTTCTTCAGCTAGTCTATAGACACTCGGTCTTCAACTCATCGTCTATAGAGACTCGTCTTTCATCTAGTCTATAGAGACTCGGCGTTCCGCTGGTCTGTAGGGACTCGTTCTTCAGCTAGTCTATAGACACTCGGCCTTCAACTCATCGTCTATAGAGATTCGGCCTTCATCTAGTCTATAGAGACTCGGCGTTCAGCTGGTCTATAGCTTGTCTATAGAGACTCGGCTTTTAGCTCGTCTACGGACACTGCCTTAAACCTACAACAATTCGAACTTAAACTGATCTATGAAATATTTCTTTCACTCGTATTTAAAAATAACCCTCCGCTTGGCTTTGCACAGAAAGTCTCTATTTTCGAAAAATAGTATGCCAACCATAACCAAAAAAATATTTGCAGCCATAAATTTCACAGAAGTGAAACATTTATCATGATTTACGATAGGAAGTTTAGTTTAGCTATCAGACATCTCTGGGCTGTGTCACGAACGTTTTCAATTTTTTTTTTTGGTATTTTATTAACAACGACACATTTGGAGGATTTCTGTGTTGGCAAGTAACGAACATATTTTTTTGTCGGGTTCGCAACATTCAAATGTCTTAGCGAGTGTGCAGGCGGAACCATATTATCGTCTCCCCTTGTCGTACAATAAATCAATATTAACAAATCTTTCATGTTTATGATAGATATTAGATATATTTTTCAAAGGCTTCCAGTTTTTTGCATAACGTGTGTGTGATTTCTTTTTTGGTGAGAGTTGAAATTTGGATTTAAAATTTCTGGAAAAAAATTGAAAAAAGAAATTGAAAGTAATAAAATATCTCCAAAATGCATGGAAGTATTGTCAAAAATTTAAAATCCGCAAATATTGCTTTAAAAACTAACAATGATAACAGAATGTGTCATGTTTTACCAAAAGGGTCCCTTAAAAATTAAGTTTTCGACAAATTTATGCTGCATGTAGTTGTTATGGCTGCTATATTTTGATTATAATGGCCTTTCGGTATCATTAATCAATTTTTTTGCTTCTTCTTATTTTCAGCTCCTCTCCATTCCTAATAGAAACCGGACTATATTCTAAACATAAGGTAAGTCCTTCTCCTCTTCTTTAATGGTCAATATCCTACTCCGTACAATACCATATTATTGCCCAGAAAATATATATTTTAGCTTTTACAATAAATATTTACGATTTCTGCATATTTTTTGCTCCACTCCTACAGTTCAATATTTACAACAACATCAACCAAATGACAACTTTTTCTAGTTCTCCTCTTCTTTTTCTCCTTCCTCTTCGTTTATGTCATTTGTAAACTTTGTTGTATTGTGCTTGCATATATCCTTAAACCAAATTCTCTGGTGAATTATTCAAAACGTGACCCTTTTTCATTTTTGGCGATAACATTGAAAACTCGCTGCGACGTGTCGCAAAACTTTTGCATATAAATCAAAATAAAGAATTGTATTTAGAGCTTTTATTCCGGCTAATGGCGACTATTGTTGTGGCAAAGTATTTTCTGTTGGTTGTTTTTTTTTTTTTTTTTCAAATTTATAATCAACATTTCTTTGTCGCCAGGAAGAAGACTAAACTAAATGGAAATATAAATTATCATTTTCAATATTTGTTTCCCCTTTTCTTTGGAGAACAGAAAAAATGGCATTTTAAATTTTGCCACCCAGAAGGGAAATGTGTTTTTGTTTAGAATTTTTGGAGGAGGATGCATTTTTTTAGATTATACCTTGCTTTGCTAGTCTACAAGATTTTGGAAACTATACTCTCGAGGAAAAATGTTGATATTCTATAAAACCGAATTCTAAAAAAAATTGGTAGTGTCTCTAAGCGCCCTGTTCTGCTCGATAACCTTCTAAGTTTTTTATAAAAATTCTCTTCAAGTCGTCTATAGAGACTACATTTTGGTCCAAAATAGAGACTACATTCAGATCGTCTATAAAGATTTCTTTCAGATTGTCTGTGGAGACTTCTTTCAGATTGTCTATGAAAACGTCTTTCAGATTGTCTGTGGGGACTTCCGGCAGGTCAAGACACCTTGTCTATGGAGACTCACGTTTGCTCTGCGGCCTTCAGTTTATCGAGAATAGTCCATCAGCTCGTCAAAAGTGTCATACTTCAGCTAGATTCAAGAATCATCCTTCAAATCGTCAAAAGAATTGTACTTCAATTCGTCTAAAGAATTGTCCTTTATCTCGTCTTTCAGCTCGTCTAGTCAAGTCATCCTTCAGCTAGATTCAAGAATTGTCCTTCAATTCGTCTACAGAATTGTTCTTCAGCTCGTCAAAAGACTCATCCTTCAGCTCGTCTAAAGTCTCATCCTTCAGCTGGTCTAAAGACTCATCCATCAGCTGGTCTAAAGACCCATCCTTCAGCTGGTCTAAAGACTCATCCTTCAGCTCATCTAAATAATTGTCTTTCAGCTCTTTCAAAGATTCGTAGTTTAGATCGTAAAAAGGGTAATTATTCAGCTCGTCTAAAGAGTCGTTATTCAGCTCGTCTAAAGAGTCGTTATTCAGCTCGTATAACGACTCATCTTTCAACTCGTGTAAAAAATCGTTCTTCAGTCGTCTAAAAAATTGTCCTTTAGCTCGTCTAAAGAGTCGTTGTATGGAGTCGTCATTCGGCTCGTCCAAAGAGTCGCCATTCAGCTCGTCCAAAGAGTCGTCATTCTGCTCGTCCAAATAGACTCCCACCATCTCGTCTATAAAGACTCGTCCTTCAGCTCGTCTATAAAGACTCGTCCTTCAGCTCGTCCTTCAGCTCGTCTATAAAGACTCGTCCTTTGGCTCGTCTATAAAGACTCGTCCTTCAGCTCGTCTATAAAGACTCGTCCTTCAGCTCGTCTATAAAGACTCGTCCTTCAGCTCGTCTATAAAGACTCGTCCTTCAGCTCGTCTATAAAGACTCGTCCTCTGGCTCGTCTATAAAGACTCGTCCTCTGGCTCGTCTATAAAGACTCGTCCTTCAGCTTGTCTATAAAGACTCGTCCTTCAGCTCGTCTATAAAGACTCGTCCATCAGCTCGTCTATAAAGACTCGTCCTTCAGCTCGTCTAAAAAGACTCGTCCTTCAGCTCGTCTATAAAGACTCGTCCTTCAGCTCGTCTATAAAGACTCGTCCTTCAGCTCGTCTAGAAAGACTCGTCCTTCAGCTCGTCTATAAAGACTCGTCCTTCAGCTCGTCTATAAAGACTCGTCCTTCAGCTTGTCTAGAAAGACTCGTCCTTCAGCTCGTCTATAAAGACTCGTCCTTCAGCTCGTCTATAAAGACTCGTCCTTCAGCTCGTCTATAAAGACTCGTCCTTCAGCTCGTCTATAAAGACTCACTGCAGCTCGTCTATAAAGACTCCCTGCAGCTCGTCTATAAGGACTCGTCCTTCAGCTCGTCTATAAGGACTCGTCCTTCAGCTCGTCTATAAAGACTCGTCCTTCAGCTCGTCTATAAAGACTCGTCCTTCAGCTCGTCTATAAAGACTCGTCCATCAGCTCGTCTATAAAGACTCGTCCTTCAGCTCGTCTAAAAAGACTCGTCCTTCAGCTCGTCTATAAAGACTCGTCCTTCAGCTCGTCTATAAAGACTCGTCCTTCAGCTCGTCTATAAAGACTCGTCCTTCAGCTCGTCTATAAAGACTCATCCTTCAGCTCGTCTATAAAGACTCGTCCTTCAGCTCGTCTATAAAGACTCCCTCCAGCTCGTCTATAAAGACTCCCTTAATTTCGTCTATAAAGACTCCCTTAATTTCGTCTATAAAGACTCGTCCTTCAGCTTGTCTAGAAAGACTCGTCCTTCAGCTCGTCTAAAAAGACTCGTCCTTCAGCTCGTCTATAAAGACTCGTCCTTCAGCTCGTCTATAAAAACTCGTCCTTCACCTCGCCTATAAAAACTCGTCCTTCACCTCGTCTATAAAGACTCCCTGCAGCTCGTCTATAAGGACTCCCTGCAGCCCGTTTATAAAGACTCCCTGCAACCCGTCTATAAAGATTCCCTGCAGCCCGTCTAAAAAGACTCCCTGCAACCCGTCTATAAAGACCCCTTGCAGCTCGTCTATAAAGACTCCCTCCAGCTCGTTTATAAAGACTCCCTCCAACTCGTCTATAAAGACTCCCTCCAGCTCGTCTATAAAGACTCGTCCTTCAGCTCGTCTATAAAGACTCGTCCTTCAGCTCGTCTATAGAGACTCGTCCTTCAGCTCGTCTATAAAGACTCGTCCTTCAGCTCGTCTATAAAGACTCGTCCTTCAGCTCGTCTATAAAGACTCCCTCCAGCTCGTCTCGTCTATAAAGACTCCCTCTGCCTCCTACATACTTAAGCTCATCTATAAGGACTCCCTTCAGCTCGTCTGTGGCTTGTCCTTTAGTTTGTCTAAAAAGTTCAGGTTGCCTATAATGACTACTCCAGCTCATGTCCCCGCATCTTGTCATTGAAAACACCCCGTATCGTCTTTCGCCTAGTCTCTATGGCCGCCCTTCAGCCCGTCTATTGAGTCGTCCTTCAGCTCGTCTATGAACCTTGTTTTTTCTCTTCGCCCTGTTTTCTTTAACGTCGGTCCCTCTTACCTTTTCGAGTGTGCCTTGCGAAAAAAATTATAAATTCCTTAGAGAACCATATAAGACATGATGTGACATATCACGTCTGGAAATTCTGCACAAAAAAAGTGAAAAACCGGAAACAAAAAAATACTTTTTCCTCATTTCCCCACTTAAATATTGACTACTTTGACATTCTAGCTTTGAAGTACAACAAAATGTACGTGCCAAGGAAAATTGTACAAAGCAGAAGACGAAGAAAGAAAAAACTACATTTCAAATAATGACAATAAAAGGACATGAACACGAACATTCTGTTAGACGACCGTAAGACAAAGTCCTGCAATCGGTATAACCAAGCGGTGGGGTGGTTAAAGTAAGACAGGAATAGAAATAAAACCAAATGACATGAGAAAAGCCATTATAGCTGGTTCATATGTACACGAAAACAACAACAACAACAACAACAGCAATAACTCGATGTAAAATGAGGCAAAAAGGACATCAAGAGGTAGCAGGACATTTAAGGGTAACGGAAAGCCGGGGACAAAGAGATGCTTGAAGCAAACCGGAAGGAAGTTCAAACATTATAAGTACGAAACATGTTTAACAAGATTATCAAAGAACAAAATCGAACTGAATGGAGTGGAGTGGAGGGAAAGTGTAGCGCCGCAGCAAAGCAGAAGAAAGTCAATACTGTTTGGGACATCATGCACTGCTACTTAAATATTGCCGCCAAAAGGCACAAACCCTCCCCCATCCTACATCGTCAGTGAGGGGAACAAACACACAAAACGTTTGCAAACAGGAAATGAAAGGAAGCGGTTGACTTTCAGGTTGTTAATTTTGCTTGCATAGCCAGCCATTCGACACGACTAACGACTCTGGGCAATGATCAAAAAGACTTTTTTTTTGGCTAGCAAAGAAAAAATCCGGGAAAAATTATTGCGTGTACAACGACCATTTGGGGAGCAATAAGAACAAAAAAAAACTGTGCAAACGCTAAGAGATTAAATGTTAAGTTTGAAAAGTTTGACTAAAATGCGAACACGATTTTTTTTTGGGGGAACGCAAACCAAGAGATTATAACTGCAGCAGCAGCAGGTTTATAAGAACTTCAGCAATTGGTCCGTCCACGCACACACATTCGACATAAAATATAGTAATTTTTATTTCAAATCAAATAAATTTTTAGGGCCCAAACAACAGTCATAAAGCGAACATAAAAAAGTTACTAATGAAACGGCACGGCCACTTTCCAGAACAGGAAATTTTATGATAGCCGAAGTTTGGCAGGCCGATTTTGAACAGGAGCACCAGGCACGTAATATTGAAAGCAGAGGGGAGATCGAGTTGCATATATAGAGTGAGATATATTTTATGACCATCGTTATTTGTAGACAATGGTTAAAATTCGTAATAAAACAATTTTTCGAAAGATGTTCGGGACACGGAGTGGGAAAAGGGTTTATTTTATTTATCCCCGCAATCTGTGACAATATTTTTTTTGTGGAATGTAATATTTGATTGCATTCATTACCCATCAGGAG